CTTCACTGTCAACAATTTTCCAAGGGACTGTTTCCTTGTAGCTCAGTTTGACAGCAGGTGTTAGGATTAACCAGAGTGGCCAGGATCTTGTTTCTAGGACACAAATTGGCACAGCTAGAGGAAAATGAGACAGTAGGGTATTTGTGTGTGAGTTGCGTGAACTGACCTGACTTTTAAATAACACTAGCCTTTTGACTATCTTTAAGTTCCTCAAATTAGTTTAAAAAATGGCTCTAAATTCCCCTTTGATAAAACTGCAGCACTCATTAGCATCCTTCCACACCTGAAGTTTTTTTGGTTACATTTCCAAGATGGCCTGTGAGAATGACAGAGCGTGATTGTGTTTCTGACCTGGGTATGGCTTAATGCCTATTGCATCACAGCATAGGGTGTGGTGACCCACTAGTTTGCTGAACTGGAGTGGATAAAGGTTTGAGTGAAGAGTGAGGAAAAATACTTAAAAATACAGTAATCCACAAGTACTGAATATCAAAGCAGCATTAATACAAACTTTAAAGATAAAAAACAACAATACATTCTGAGCTCACTGTACAGTACATGCATTTTCAACCTAAAGTAGTTTTGATTTTAACTTTTGTGCTTTCACTTGTGTGGCGCAGTGGACTCCCTGACCTGCAACCAGTGTGCCATTGCTGCGTTTGGCTACTGCCCTTTTTCTTCAAGTGTGACCTGCGCGGCTAACACCTCCTGCTATACTGCATCAATAAGTAGGTTACCTCCTAATTGTCTAAATCAAATTCATGTTTAATCTTCACACTGACACAATGTAGTAATTCCTTTCTTTGTAAATTGTACCTGTGAACAATTACTCATTTAGAAGTCTTGAATGCTTATTTAAAAGAAATCAATTACCTAAAATAAAGATACTCATTTTAAGTTCCAATGTCATAGTTCTGGGTGCTTTCATGATTTTAGATGAATTGATGAAACGAAAGAAATGAAGGAAGGAAAAATAGGATGAGAGAGAAAAGAAACTAATCAGTTTTTTTTATAAAAAGAAAGTCTGATAAAATAGAAACAGTACCTCAAAAATGTACCAAAGTACTTTTCAACTCTGGAAGTCTTATTCATGCAACCATTTTCCCTCAGAATTTACTAAGATCTCCGTGGGAATCACCAACCAGGGCTGCACGGACAGCACCATTAACTGCAACACAACCACCAACTCCACCCTAGCAGGTCTCAGCTACACTACCACAACCACTTGCTGCTCAACAGATAACTGCAACCCTGCAACCGCAGGCGCCCCGTCTGCAAAGATGACCCTTACCAGTGCCATTGGTGTAGCCGCTCTGGCTTTCATGTGGGGAAGCATGGTGTAAAATGTCTCAAGGGAAATCACAGTAACAACTAGTTGCTCCTAAAATCCAAACAAGATCAAAAGCACTGTCCAAAATAAACTTTTTGGACCTTGTGAGTTTAGAAGTATGATTGTTAAGTGTCACTCTTTATTTTTCTTCTCATGTTAGGGTTCAGATTTATAATGACAAGTTCAATAAAACACAAAGCTTAGATGTCTACATTATGGAAGTTGAACAATGGGATGTTTCAGAGAAACATTGAGTTCTTAAATCTTCTATGCTGCTGTTTTACTTTGTATTTCTTTTAATCAAAATGCATTTATTCTTTAACTATTTTGTGTCTTGCTGGACTTAAAAATAAAGAAAATCTAAAAACATGTTCTGAAGGATTGTGTTTAAGTCTTAGTTCCTGATAATAATTAATTGAGAAATGACAAAATATAAACTTCAATCATCATTCAATCTATCTTCTATGCTGCTGTTTTACTTTGTATTTCTTTTAATCAAAATGCATTTATTCTTTAACTATTTTGTGTCTTGCTGGACTTAAAAATAAAGAAAATCTAAAAACATGTTCTGAAGGATTGTGTTTAAGTCTTAGTTCCTGATAATAATTAATTGAGAAATGACAAAATATAAACTTCAATCATCATTCAATCTCTACTGGCTTGTTATGCTACAAACTATAGAGGTGATGTCATTCAGGTGTATCTTTCATCTATTAAATTCCTCCACCACTGACTCTTTGGCCAAACCCCTCCTCCTGTGACACTATATAAATGTCACGTCACCAAACAGAGTCATCATTCTTTACTACACGCAGCATCCAAGAAGCTCCCAGACTTTCTGTGAGAGGGTTTTTATTTTTTGTCTTTGAGACAGAAGAATCAAGCCAACACATCAAGATGGGCAAGATCCTGTTTGGAATCATTGCACTTGTTGCATCTGTCATGCTGGGTAAGATTAAACAATAATCAGGGTTATTATTCAGTAATCACATTTATCATCAGAGAGAAAGATAATGGCAAGTTCTTCAGAACTGATTGAGATATCATTGATCTGTAGATTAATTGTTAATACAAAGTGTTTATACTTGATCAGTTTATTCAAAACAATTTGCTCAATGATAAAAAGGCTTGACAATGTTACAAAATACAGTTGTTAGCTTCTTAGACATGTTAACATTTACTCTACTTTACTTTTATGAGTATTATTCTATTATTTTATCTGAAGGATTGTGTTTAAGTCTTAGTTCCTGTTAGAGGAATGTGTCACCCCTCACAGACTTGATCGCTACAGCTGACATGTATTAGAAATATAACTCCCCTGTGTATGAAGATATCAAACAGGAGTCATTGTTCCACCAAACCTTAATCAAATGAACAGTAAGAACTTAAAAGACAACAAACACCCCTTGGAGGTATTTTCACCTGTTGGTTAAACCAAGAACATCAAGATGAACACATTTCTGTGGAGCTGTGCAGCACTAATGACTCTGTTTGTTACAGGTCAGAAGAGGGTTTTACTTTACTTTGTAGATGGGAAGCACTATCTTTACCTTTGTGGGACAACGGATATGAGCTCAAATAAGGATCAATAAGAATTTTTGAACTCATGTTCACATATAATTTCTAAGCCTGTGATTGTTTGAACTCTGTAAACCTTTGACAAAACTTGGTGTGAGAAATTTACAAAAATAAAAAAACTGTAGCCTGATTGAACTCTATTTAGACATTCTCAACATTTTATTACAACTGTAAATCTTTTCCACGCATTCATAAAGTATTATTTGTAAGCTTTGACATGATTTCAAAACAGCTGTTCACAAATCCAGAATGTGACCTTGGTATGAGCCCGTGCACTGTGCAGAGCTCCAGCAGTGAAAGTGCTTTTTGCAGTAATGTCAGAGAAGGACTGTGCCACTGTTTGGTAGTTAATTTGTGATGTCACTCACTATGTTTTTTGCTATCTAATACACATTGTATAAAATGACACACCTATTTTTGAGCAAAGAGAGAAAATTGCATCGGCCTTGCATTTAAAGTGGCAGTTCACCCAAACTGCACAAAAAGACATTTAATTGTATACTTTCTGTGGGATTAAAAATGTGTTTCGCTTATATTCATCCAGGTTTGGCGCTAACAGTTTTGTTTGTTTTTTTTCCACAGGATTATATAATAACCAGCATGCTATCTGGAAATGAAAGTTATGTTAAATGTGATTTTTCACATGTCTGAGGACCAAAAAACTAATTCCATTCACTTCCAGTGTATGGATGTGGAGGGGAAAAAAATCAGATAGCTCAAGACTTGAGCTAACAAACCCATAGCTACTGTAAATATACCTATGCCAAAGTCATACACATGAATCATGCACTGAAATACAGTTTACACAACACACCCACTGTTCACCTTGTGAGATTACCAAACAATTTCTTGATTGTGATTACAGTCAAATTTTTTATTAAGGTGTAGCTAAAAGCTGTTTTGGTTGGCTGTTGATTAACTGTCTTTGTGGTGCTCTCTCACACATTATTATTTCCAGTTTCTTATTCTCTGGTTGTCTTTTCTCCTATAGTTGAGTCTCTCACCTGTTACAAATGTGATACGGTGTTGCTCGGTGCCTGTCTCGGCAAATCAAGTATAAACTGCACAGAAGATCAGAAGAGCTGTTTCACTGCACATGCCAGTAAGATCGACCGCTGAATCACACATCAGAAGTAACAAAAACATCATTACTGTCTCCAATCTCTCAGATCAGCTGAAACCTAAAAAATCTAATTACTAAAATTAGTTATCCTCATTTTGACTGCAGGACAGGGCCATACCCAGGTTATGAGAACTAATGAAGTCAAAATCACAAATCCTTCCTGCACTATCCCATCCCCCAAAGTAATTTTTCACTAATCACAAAACTGACTTGAGCTTTATTATGACTGGATGATTCTCTGAATAAGTTGAGGTTTTCATCACAAGAACCTCTTTCTTGTGGCCACATGTGGCTTTTGGACATTTTGCATGTGAAATATATGAATTACAGATCCACATTTTAAATGATAACCATATTAGCCTTGTAAAAATATACAAAAAGTCCTCTTCAGGTCATTAAAACCCATAAATTCCCAGACACAGTGCTGCAGAAATGACCTTGGTGACCTTAATGGATGCTATGCCCCTGTTACATGATTAAAATCAGCTACAGCTGTTTAAAAAATAATCACATAAAAGATACAGTATCTCTTCTTTGCTTTCTCCAGAGTTTAGTCCTGACCTGTTGGATATCCACGATCGTGGCTGTATAGAAGATACTAAGTGCAAAAACAGCACCGGAACAATCCTGAATTTTAACTATGTCATCAACATGACCTGCTGCAATAAAGACTTGTGTAACGGAGCCACCTCCATCCAGATGCCTCTGGCTACAGCTCTGTGTGCTGCTCTAGTGGCCATGTGGAGCCAGTGGGGCCTTTGAGGAAGTGGATGGGTTGCTTTACATTTCAGTTTCAAAATCAAATAATTGTTTGTCCTTTAATTTCATGAATATGCTTGAGATAACATTTGCATTACTTTAGTGTCCCCATGATACATAATGGAGGGTCGGTGGCTGTATGATGTGACTTAACTTCCTTCCAGGTCTAACGGGAGGCTACATTTACTGTTTGAGCAATTTGAAGCTATTTGTATTGTATCTGGACTATCTGTGCTATTATATTAATTCTCATGCCTTTAACACCTCATTAATATTCAATTAATTAAAAAATCTTGAATGACACCACTGTATAGATTTTGGTGTGAAACCTTTACATTACAGTGCTGATTTAAAGCAACTTAATCCTAACACTGATTTTTGCAACAATAAAGTATTTCTTACGGGAAAGCATATTTCCATTTGTGCCCTGTGTGTCTATTTGGAACGCCATCTCCTAAATGATTCGTGTGATGTGATAAGCTGAAGTAATGTCTTAGCGACGGTTGGGCTGTAGTAGATGTTACCCAAACAGAGCAGTAGTTAATTGTTGTTGTTTTAGGAAATATGCTTTTTCATTTGCTTGTTCAAAGTGAGATGAGAAGATGGACACCACTCTCATGTATGTGTGGTAAATATGGGGCTACTGCTAGCAGCTGATTAGCTTAGCACAAAGATAGGAGACAGGGAAACAGCCAGCTTAGCTCAGACTGCACATAACAACATCCGCCTTCCAGCACCTTCAAAGATGAGTAGTCAACATGGTGTATCTTGTTTGCATGAAAACAGAAATATTAAAATGAGCAGCTGTTTCACAGACACAGTAAATGTCTGTTCAGCTCTGTCATAACCTCAGGTCACTCTCAGCTGAACTGCTACTGGAGAAGCCTGGATGAGTAACACAACAGTGATTATCTCCTTTGTTACAACCACCAAAAATGTTGTAGGGAGTGAGACCAAATGGGTGTGTTGTTATTCACCCCTGATGAGTTTGTAAGGATCTGTTAGCACAAACATTTGACGTACTGTATGTGAATATGTAACTCCTGCCCTGCTAGTACCCACTGAGGTATGGCCAGAAACACACATAGAGGTTACATACCTATCACATGTACTTTACAATGCTACAACCTGCTCATTTCCCACATTTAAGATTGAACTCTTTTGGTTTGCTCCTGACAGTAACTGAAAACAGTCTTGATACAAGAATCCTGGCTATGTGCTGCAGTCGGCTGGCTTTCTGACCTATAATATGTGATTCATAACACAAACTGGATTCTGTAGCTTGTTAGGAAACAAAACCTGATAAACCTCATTTTTCAGGAGATGACTGACTGACTGTTTTCTCAGTACACCTTGACAAAGGCTCTTCTATCCAGACCCTTTGTTATTTTTAAAAGGAATCTGTTGTCCGCCCTTGTAGGTACGTAAGTAGTCATTGTTCTGAGTTGCTTCATAGCAGCAGGTTGAGAATAATGTTTTACTTATGAAATGAAAACACAGGCTGTATCTAAAAATAATTATTGTCTTTATATGCAATCTATGGGTGAAATGAAAAATTTTAATTAAACCAATCCTAAATCTATATTCAGAAGAAACTAATGAGGGACTCATTGCTAACCTGAGTCTTATATATACTGTCTTATGAGTGTTATCTCAACTTTCTCACAGCAGCATGACTCAAAACAAATGTTATCAAATTGTTTGTACAAGATTACAGCAGTAGAAACTAGCACAGACATCTTGGCACCTTTGAGCTCTGTGTATGAAAAGTATGTTGTGAAGAGAGCTGATGTTTATGACATCCTGTTCTCTCTCTTTTTCTATCTTTTTTTTTTTTCAGAAGCACTGATCTGCCATCAGTCTGTTGATGTGAAATGCCTGTTTGGTAAAGAGACTTAGAAAAAGACAAAAGAAAATATGCGGATAGAGACAATGGGATTACCCGCAAAAGGGTGTGTTTTTGGAATTTTCTATAGCCACATACTGAGAACTATTTCATTTATCTTATTTAAAATTAATCTTCATTACACAAAATATATTATTCAAAGTGAATTCCAGCAGATCAGTTGTGGATTTAGGGGTTAAATCAGCATCTGAAGTGGCAAAATAAAAATATCCTATTACTTGAATATCACTTGAAAATCTATATTTAGCTTTTGCAGATCATATGACCTTTTTCAAAGATAATTTACAATAATGGAGCATCCCCCCTCCCAAAAAAAGTTATTGAAATATCTACCATAGCAGCTAAACAAGGAGCTCTCTGCACCAATAACTGGGTAGACCAGGTGTTTATGTTTTTGGTTGAAACAAGTTAATGAGTAACGATCAGAAAGAAAACAGCTTTTGTGATTGGGTGAACAATGTCTTTAAAAATTACTGGGCATGGGAGTCTATTATTAATCACACAGCTTGTTTTGACAGGACCGTGCGCTGTGACACTCAGCCTACAGTGGAGTAGGCTGCCCTCTAGCGGCCCCTTAGTGCAGCATAAGTAAACATTATTTTTCTGTGCTTTTATCACTTTTACTGTACTGTGTAGCACCACATTCAACATATTTTATTATCTTCATTTGTCAGAGAAAAGGTTCACACATGGCAGCAAGTAAGAAAAAGATCATATCAATTCCAATAAAATTACTTATAACTGTAGCAGTAAAACAAAAAATATTTAGGCAAATTACAAATATTGTTTGTGTGTGTGTATGTGAAAAAATGTAAATAATAATAAGTATTGACTGAATTGTTCGTGCCAACTTTTTCATATGCCACATTCTTCCTCTATTTGCTAAGTTCATTAGACAAACAGTAAGTGCATTTAAAGAAAGGCTCCAAAAATCAACAAAATATGCAATTTGCCTATTGGTGAGCCAAACCTTTGCACAAAACTGGGCTACCGCGTCTCAATACATTTAAAAAAGAGCCTCCGAAAACATATAAAGTAATTGTTTCAGCTGCTGGATGCTGGACTGTAGTATGATGTGAACTACAGGTGTTCCTATTATTGTGTCCAAGCCCTGTAGCTGAGCCCCTGCTTTTATATCCTGCGCGTTTTGAGTCACATTCAAATGCTGTTCTGTCTGTTTCAAGAGGTTTTAAAATAAATAACCTCCAAGGTGAACATAAGCCCTTGTGTCCGTCCCTGCTTCTCCCTCCTCGCCCTGCATCTCTTCCTCCTCTTCCTCCGCGCTCTTTTCGCGGTGTGCGCGCTGGAGGCTCGGCCCGTCGCGCGGCACCAGGAAATGGAGGAGCGGCGGTCTCGACGAGCGTGAGGCTGCAGAACTGGGAGGAGACACAGGCGACCAGCAGACGGCAACAGGGCACAACTTCCAGCACCGCGAGGTAGGCTCTGCAGATTCGAAAGTAGCCAGAATGTAACATTTTGTACTTATTTTGAGGAGGGAATTCGCTTTGCTTAACATTTACGCCGCTTTTGTGGCTGCTAGAGTGTTTTAATTTGTCATTTGCTCAGCGGGGTTGCGGGGTTTGTAGCGGAAGATGAGCTCGGCCGCCCCAGTTTCGAATTCTTTTGATTTCTCTTCTGCAAAATGTAACTTTGTACTTTTAGTTCAGCTTTATTGTAACTGCTTGTTAATGTGTGTATCACAGCATCAGCCGGTGAAGATGAGCGACGCAAATCAGCCCAAAGTTGAACTTTTTGTGAAGGTAAGTGATTAAATGATGACGCAAAACCACAATCACACCCAGAAGGAAAGTGACGCGGCGACATTTCATTGTGTGAAGTCACTTATTTAACGGGCATGAAGCCGTTTAAAGCACCGTTATCTTATCTTTTTTTATCAGCATTGACAGCTAAATGTTAGTCGAAGCTGATAACATCTTTATGACATCCACGTTTGAAATTTCGTCCAGTGGTGTAAGAATGACGTCAGGCCAGATCCCCTCTGCTGACTCACTTGGCTTATAAACTACAGTAGGACTAAGCTTATTACATTCCCATTAAGATAACTTTATATTTAGTATGTTGGCCAGCCAGGCTAATCTCGTTTTCTTTGAGATAAAGCTAGCTCCAATATAACCAACATGTCTCTGCCTTCCCCTCGTGGTCTTACACAAGCATCAA